TATATAAATAAAAGTACTGAAAAGATTGAAGAGTAAATCAATGGTCCAAAATCCCACAGCTAGAAAATAAGGAAAATGGGACTTGAGCAAAACTAGTCTGGGTATAGAGCTCACTCTATTATAATGTCAGTCAATGCAGTATCTTTGATATCACCCCTGCCATCCTGTCCAGGGACAAGCATATAGTCATCACTGGATGTATAGTGTACATTTCTCACCAGAAATTTTTCAATTTCTTTTTCAATATGTCATTTGGATCATACAGGGAATTAAGTTATGTGGTTCTTTTTTATATTTAATGGCTCAACTCACAGACTTTTACTTTCTATAATAAATATCATCAACCCTTGGCTAATTCAACAATTCATAGGCAAAGAGTATAAATGACTTTTCTTAGCCACGACTTTTCCTACCACTGACACTGTTACTAAAAATTGATGATATACCTGGGGGTAAAAATGATGGCTTAGTGGCGACCTCCTGGCTCTCTGCTCCCAGAGTTGGAGGCGAAGAATGCGGACAGCTACACATGAGCGGATCACTTTCCCACAGGAACAGCATCATGAATCTGTAGAGAAGCAGCGCGGGACAAGCAGTGTTGGAAAAAAAAAAAAAAGGTGAATTGGACAATTGACCACTAAGTTCAGAGATTGCGAGATACACAATAGGGAATAGAGCATAGGACAGCCGCGCCCACTGGCCAGCCAGAGCAGTGTGGTCTGACCCATAGGAGGACGACTCTTTCTCCATCGACCTCCACATCCACTCAGGCAGGAAAGTGTCTGAAGTCAGTGTGAATTTGAGGCACAGGCTGATGGGCAATGTGGAGAAGAGACAAAGTTGGGGGACATTTTGAGCTCTCCAGTGCATTGTGCTAGATCCGCACTGGGCAGGGAGGGGTCAGGTCTGAGTGGACACTCCCTGGATCCACAGGAGGGAGTTTGGAGACAGGCTTCTCACCTCTGGGGTGAGATCAAGGGAGGTGAATGCCAAGGAAGAGGCTCTGCCCCCGGACACCGCCGAAGATTCAGCCAGCCCAGGGTGGGACAGAGTGTGTGTGTCTCCCTACTGGACGGGCACAAGTCAGTGTGTCAGGGAAGTGGAAGTGACCACCGGCAACTGATTGAGATAGCCGGCCAGGTCCAGCGCCTGCTGCCCCTCGAACAGTCGCCTCCGGTGCTGGCTGTCCATGGGTGGGCAGCCGCTATTTTCGGGGTCCACAGCATAGAAACGCTGTGACATGTTACCAAACTGGACACCGCCCCTTCTCCAGCCCAGCAGGGCAGGCCCAGGCAATGGACTCAGGTGGGCCACTGCCACTGCCCGGCAGAGCAAGCCCCGCCCTTGGAGGAGGGGAGTAACAAGAGAAGCTGTTTTCTGAATTTCTGCCCCCAGTCGCTTGCCTTTTCACGCTGGCTGTTCAAACCCTGCCCTTGAAGGGGTGGAGTAACGAAAGAAGCCACTTTCCTGCTGAGTTTCCCCAGCTTAGGAGGAGCTTGTCCCCCCACCTGGCTGTTTCTACCTCACGCCTACCAAACTCCTCCCTTGGAAGGGCAGAGTAATGAGAGAGGCCACTTTTGGAGCAGAGCAGCCCCATGGCCTCGGAGGAGTTTCTCCCTACTCCCCTCTCCAGGCCACTTCTACCTCACACCTATCAAGTTCTGCCCTTGGAGGGGTGGAGTAGCAAGAGAGACCGCTTTCTTGGCTGAGACCCACGGTGGCCTGAGGCAGCACTTCCCCCCTCCCCGCTGTCCACTCTCCCCCAGTTCCACGGCTTGACTTGCTTGACTTCCCCTACAGCCAGGCAGACCCCGTCCTTCGAAGAGGGGAGAAACAAGAGAAGAGGTTTTCTGGACTGGAACATAAGGTGGTCTCAGGGAAAACCCCTTCCCCAACCTGGCAGGGCAGGCTACACCCTTGCAAGTAGGGAGAAAGGAGAAAAGTCACTTTCTCTGTATGACTGGGGTGAATCTGTGGGACCTTGGAACTAAGCAAAAGGGGACAGACTGTTTAATTGGACCAGTGGTTTGGTCTTGATCATGTGATAAGAACATAAAACTAGGGCTCATGCTTGGTGCCCAGGCCGCTGCCGGCTCTGGGGCTTGCAGTCCAGGAAGGAAAATCTTGGCTAGGGTCCTCAGCAATTGCACCCATTGACACCCCCCACCTTGGACTGCCTTGCAAGTGTGGCGAAAGATCCCTGAATAACATATTAGCAGCTCTCTCCTAGTAGTAGATCAAGCAACCACAGAAGTATATGCCCTCAGGCTTGTAGGCACCTGTTGCTCTTCTTGTCTCACCTTAAGTGGCAACAGGTCTCAAGTAACCCTTGAGAGTGACAAGACATTTCCCAAAGAGTCGGGTGCTGGTATACTCCATTTGAGGTTTAAAGCCCCAAACAAAGGTATTAGAATACCTTGATAATCGACTTCTCCATGCAAACTGCAAGCAACAAAAGAGAGGGCAACCCCATAGCCCAACACAACACCTTTCTTCTCAAACTAGCGGAGGGCAGTGAAGTCACTCACACAAGAGTGATTCACCACCTGGGAGACTAAGCAAGGGGTCCAAACTTACTAATCTCCTTTGCCAAGAGGTGAAGACAACAGGTCAGAGACAACCCAACAGGCTAAAACACCTCTAAGGCAATACAGGACCAGAACGCATCTCCCCAACACTGTCAGGGAACATCCCTTTGGGGTTCTGGAGTTAAAGCCATAACCCAGCCCCAGCACCCCCAGCTCTTGACAAAGTAGCCTGATGGGAAAGAATCAAGCAAAAGAACACTGGAAATATGAAGGATCACAGAGAAAAGTCTCCCCCAAAAGAAAATATTAGATTTCCATCAATAGATAACAATTTACATGATATGATTAAATTGACAGAGGAAGAATTCCAGATATGGATTGTAAGAAAACTCAATGGAATTGAAGAGGAAATAGAAACTCAATGTAGGGAAGCCACAAGAACAATACAGAAAATGAATGAAAAATTCTCTAAAGAAATTCAAATACTACAGAAAAAAACAAACAGAAATCTTGGAAAGGAAGGAGGCTTTCAAGGAACTTCAAAACACAGTGGAAAGCCTCAAGAACAGAATGGATCACACAGAGGAAAGAATCTCAGAACTTGAAGATAAATGCCTATGTGCTAAACAAATCAGATGAAGAAAAAGAACACAGAAATAAAATACAAGACCAAAACATACAAGAAATGTGGGATTATGTAAAGAAGCCAAATATAAGAATGATTAGCATCCCTGAGAGAGAAGAAGAAAATACACAAGGGCTGGAAAACTTATTTTGTGGAATACTGGAGGAAAATGTGCCTGACCTTGCCAGAAATCTAGACATCCAGTTACAAGAAGCACACAGAACTCCTGGGAGACTCAATGTGAAAAGGCAATCACCACATCACGTAGTTATTAGGCTGACCAAAGTAAAGAATGAAGCAATGAAAGAAGCAATCCTCTAAGCAGTGAGGTGAAAGCAGCAAATAACCTACAAAGGAAAACCTATCAAACTAACTACAGACTTCTCAAATGAAACTTTACAAACCAGAAGGGACTGGGTGCCTATTCTTAATCTTCTAAAACAGAATAATGACCAACCTACAATTCTCTACCTGGAAAAATTAAGCTTCATCTATAAGGGAGATATAAAGACCTTCCAAGACAAGCAAACTCTGATGGAATTTTCAAAAACCAGACCAGCCCTACAGGAAGTACTCAGACATGTATTACATATGGAACAGCACACTAGACATTCTCCAAAGTAAAATAAAGTCTAGAACCTGGTCTTCAAGATGGCTCAAGGAGTATAACAAAACAATAGGACTTTACCTAACAATATGAATGGAAATCTACTTCAAATATAAATCCTCTCAATAAATGTAAATGGCTTGAATTGTCCTCTGAAGAGACATAGACTGGCAGAGTAGATAAAGATCCACAAGCCTCGTTTCTGCTGTCTACAAGAAACACATCTAATGCACAAAGATGATTTTATGCTCAAGGTCAAGGGATGGAAAACAATCCACTAGGCAAATGGAAATCAAAAGAAAGCAGGGGTAGCTTTCCTTATTTCAGATAATATAGGCTTTAAAATAGCAAAAGTAAGAAAGGACAAAGACGGCCACTACATAATGGTGAAAGGGAAGATCCACCAAGAAGACTTAACAGTTCTTAGTATTTATGCACCCAACTCAGGAGACCCCAGGTACATAAAGCAAACCCTGTCTGATCCACATAGCATGATAAACAATAACGTCATAATAGCCAGGGACTTCAACACCCCACTGAATGAACTGGACAGATCTCCTAAATAGAAAATAAGCAGAGAAATAATGGACTTAAACAGAGCTGTAGAATAAAAGGGTCTGACAGACCTCTACAGGGTATTCCACCCAAATAAAGCCGAATATACATGCTTCTCATCAGCTCATGGAACTTTTTCCAAAATTGATCACATACTGATCACAAATCAGACCTTAACAAATTCAAAAAAGCAGAAATAATACCGTGTATCTTCTCAGATCATAGTGGTATAAAATTAGAGTTCAATTCCAACAGAAATACACACCACTTCACAAAGTCATGGAAAGTAAACAATTTATTGTTGAATGACTATTGGGTAGAGGAGGAAATATAGAGAGAAATCAAAACATTCTTTGAACTTAATGATAATGAGGACACAAGTTATCAAAATCTGTGGAACACAGCAAAAGCATTCCTGAGAGGAAAACTAATAGCATTAAATGCTCACATCCAAAAAACAGAAAGCTTAAATATCAACAATCTAACAAAAAGCCTCAAGGAATTGGAAAAGGAAGAGCAAATCAACTCCAAACCTAGCAGAAGAAAAGAAATAAGTAAGATCAAAACAGAACTAAATGAAATTGAGAACAAAAGAACTGTACAGAAGATCAACAAAACCAAAAGCTGTTTTTTCGAAAAGATAAACAAAATTGACAGCCCTCTTGCCAGATTAACAAGAACTTGAAGGGAAAGGACTCTAATAAACTCAATTAAAAATGAAAAAGGAAAGTCACAACAGACACCACGGAAATACAAAATATTATCTTTGAATTCTATAAAAACCTATATGCCCAAAAACTACATAATGTGGAGGAAATGGACAAATTCCTGGAAACATACAACCTCCCTAAGTTCACCCAGGAGGAATTAGAATTCCTGAACAGACCAATATCAAGCACAGAAATTGGAGCAGTAATTAAAAATCTTCAAAAAGGAAAAGTCCTGGACCAGATGGACACACTTCCGAGTTCTACCAAACATTCAAAGAAGAACTCATACCTATACTACAGAAATTATTCCATGACACTGAGGAAGATGGTATCCTCCCTAACTCATTCCACAAAGCCAAGATCACCTTGATACCAAAACCAGGAAAGGATACAATAAAGAAAGAAAACTGCAGACCAATATCCCTCATGAATATTGATGCAAAAATCCTCAACAAAATTTTAGCAAATCTAATCCAACAACATATCAAAAACAACAATTCACCAAGACTAGGTGGGCTTTATACCAGAGATGCAAGGCTGGTTTTATATACACAAATCTATAAATGCAATTCACCTCATAAATAAAAGCAAG